GGCTTAAATTACTTAGCTCTCATGTGATCCTCAATGAACTCCACAAGTCATTGATTTGAGAGTTGATATGGTAAAGAAGTTTACCCAACCATTAGTAAAATATTACAGTATCAGGAGATGTCAAAACCAAGACAATCTAGAAGCTCTGGTAAAATGCCCATATACAAGACTTTTTTTTAGACTTCTTGTAATCACACCAAGGGGAATTTTTCAAAACTGGAGAGCAGACAAAATCTTGAGCAGCTGTGCACGGCAACTAATCAGCTTCTCTCTTCAGTTTGTTCAGTTAAGATTTGAAAATGAAAGATAGAACCTGATTGGCTGCCGTGCACAGCTGTTCCAGATTTTCTCTGCTTCAGTTTTGATAAATCCCTGCTACTGTGTATAACTTTGCTTGGTCAGTCCATAATTTATGTAAAACAGTAGATCAGACAATCCTGTTGCCCTTTTTAGTTTTTCTGGCTATAGTATGACTACTTTTTTTTTTTTTTAAAGAGTAATTTTTTTGTTAAACATAAAACATTACAACTCAACACAGTAATACAGATAAAAAGCAAACCACATGGGGTCCTGGGAGAAAAGGGAGCACTCACATTACATTGAACCTCTGTCAAACTCAAACAATAAGGACTGTGAGTAATACAAGCATACAAATACAAAAAGCTGACAGGAGATAATCAACTCACAGCCTAATTTAATGACTACCAACAGTGTAACGACATTGAGTATAATTGAAATCTGGTATGAGAAGCAGACTGCTCCCTCATCCAACCCACAACCTCATACCACGAAAAAAAAAAAGGGGGGTGAGAGAGGAGAAGAGATTAGCAGAACAGGAAATGGGGGCAAACTCAAACTGCAGTCATAAAAGCACTGAAGACCTTCAAATCAATAGTCAAGTAAAGGTCATAGAAGGTCATAGAAAGGATTGAATCTTTGACGAAGAGGAGAAGCGTATCCACATGCTCAACGTCTCAACAAACATGGAGAGACAGGCCATTAGATCCTCCATTCTCATGATATTGTTGACTTCTTGTACTTATTCTTTCACCCTAGTATGACTACTTTTATTGTCCCTCTTCACACTCCAGATGTTTAGGACTTAAATTTAGATCTGGCCAACTTCAGGCAACAAATATGGTAAGAAGTGCACCGGATGCTAACCTTATATATGTTGTCAGAAGATCTACTCAATTTGTCAAAATTATAGATGTGTTTCTCACAAAGAAGTCATATTCATCAACCTTTTCACAGCGCCCCTGGGTGAGTTGTAGCCTTTATCTTTTCCAATGTTGGTGTAAAATTTTGCAGTGAGCTCAAAGAGAGGGTGGGGATGGAAACCCAGTGGCCCCCATTTTCCAAGGCTTAAAGGAGAACTATGAAGTGAGTGATTTCAACTCATAGTTAGAGCCGACCTGTGACAAAGAAGCTGTCACAGGTCGGCTCTATTGATCGGGAAGTGAGCAGAAACATGCAGCCGATCTGCTCACTTTTCGATCGTCTCCCTGCAGGGAGCAGTGACAGTCAGTCAGCGCTCCACGCAGGGATTTCCCCCCCTCTAATCCTCCAGCACTGAGAGGAGGAACAAACAGGGAAGGGGGTGAGCACAGCTGGATCTGCCTCTAGATAGGCAGAGCCAGCTGTCACTCATACAGCTGGGTGGATCATGACAGTATTGTCAGTATCTGTCCCGGCTGCGGCGCTCTCAGTATATCGCAGGCAATAGCTTGCTATATACTGAGCTTTGGGTCACGGAAGGACACTAGTATATATCCTCCCATGACCCCAAAGAGAACTATTGGGAAAAAGACTTACCCCATAGTACTCTTTTACGTTTAGGGCCATTTACATCTGTTAAATGAGGTTTCCATTTTCTAATAACTAGTCAACTCCTGCTTCCTACCAAACACTGAGTACCACATTTTGACCCTTATACATGACATCCTGGTAGAAGTAGTTCCTTGTAGAAAACATCAGTATCAGTCTGTAGAAATGTCAGTGTATACTGCTGTACGCTTCCCGTCCACTAGGTGTCAGCAACACAGTGTGAGTAAATAATGGGGCTGCCAGCTGAGGGAATAACCTTACATACTTTAAATTGCAATGTAGGAATGAACTTTGTACACCTGAAAAGGTTTACTGGTATATTGTCATCTAGTAGCACTATTCATGTTTTGCTGCTTTCTGACATTATGAGAACCAAACAGTTCTTTGAAAAGCAATTGTATTTCTATTTTGCAGAGAAACCTTGCAAAAAACCAGACCATTGGAGTTCTAAAATATGCTATAGCAAACATAGCTGTAAGGTAGCATTTTGGTACAAACCATAACAGGAAATTGACAGTCACCCACCTCAGCAAAAAAACAGTTAGGTATGCTTGTGTTTTATTATGTTTGCAATACTGATGCACAAGTCAAAAAATTATATACTTTGATCTGTTCCCTAGATCAAAAAACAAAGCTGTTGTTTGTATATTTATATGATATTACCAAACAATTGAAGAAAAAAAAAATACAGCGCTAACCTAAAGTGTATTATCGTGAACCAATAACACTCTATTATCAAATTGATGCATATAAAACGTTTGAGTTTGAACACAATCATATCATTTCTTCCATTTCTGTTCGTAGTGGAGTTACATTGGCACCTAAAGCCTATCTCCAGAAAAAAATGGGCATGCAGTGGGACTACCCTCGCACTGCAAGGGTTTACTGCTCATTTGTCTACTGGTATTGTGAAGGGAACTTTTAATTACCTGATCCCTGCTCCCCTGGCACTCACCTCATCTTCCCTCTGCTGTGGTTTTGTGGACTGTGCCTCAGCATCCTCACATATAATACAAGGCTATGGGTCCTGCATTATATGTCATCAAGTCAATCAGTCTCTGACCGCCACAACAGAGGGGGGAGAGGCTAGGCGCTGGTCTTGGAATCTGCGGGAGCTGGGATCAGGGACGTAAAAGTCCTTTTACAAAGGTCCCCTAGACAAAACAAGCAGTTAATACTTGCAGCACTGGATAGACCCACAGCAAGGGTTAAGCGCTCATTTTTGTTGAGGTTTTTAAAAAAAGTTATGCTCACACGATGGGGGGGGTGACCGCACGCTACAAACGATCCGGCGGCTGAATAGACGCTGGATCGCTTGTACATGAACAGCCATCGCTGGCTGTTAAGAACTATAGCATAGCAGCCGTGTTCTTGTTTTAACCACTTCTGCGGGCCGCCGTCTATAGACGTATTGCAGCCTGGAAGTGGTTAAAGTGACATTAAACCCTCAGATTTTTTAACATAAACCAATACTGTAATGTGTGCCTTACTGTAATCCATGGTTGTTTCCCTTCTCTTTGCTGCTCTTCCTTTTAAATCTGTATCTGTTCTCATGCTTGGGGAGAACTTCTGTTTTGCAGCAGACTGCCTTGTCTCAGGAATGGATACACAGTGTCTGTGTATAGGTTTGTATCCTGAGCCAGCACTACAGGAAGAGGCCCTGAGCTGCAAAGGGACGTTCTCCCCAAGCTTGAGAAGACATGAGGATTTAAAAGGAAGAGCAGCAAAGAGAAGGGAAACAACCATGGATTACAGTAAGGCGCACATTACAGTATTGGTTTATGTTAAAAAATCTGAGGGTTTAATGTCACTTTAATGATTGGATGAGTATAACTTTTTTCTTTTAGTACCTAGACACAAACGAGCAGTTAACCCTTGCAGTACAGGGGTAGCCCCAACGCAAAGGGTTCATTACAAAATCTTTCCCCGGAGTTGTTTTTTAAGCTGGCCATATACTTTTCTTTTAGAAGGAAATAAGTCACTTTTGAAGAACTTGTTTGCTCAGAGTATTAGGAAAAAAGAGACTGCTGTTTATAAAGATTTCTTTATTAGCACTTAGACATTTTTTAGCACATGTTTTTGCACATTTTACTGATATATTATCGAAATGATATGTTTGTGTTTGAACTAAGCGCTGCTTTGTAATACATTTTTTTTATATGGATGCATTTGATAACAGAAGTTAATGGTTCACTATAAAACACAATAGGGTTTAAGTTAGCACTGTATTTTATTTGTGCACATTTTAATGGGCATTTTCTGATCCAACATAACTATGTATGCAAAAGCGTACACACATCTATATGGGGGTCCAACACTCTTGACTGACAAAGGGAAGGCTCTAAACTAAGATATGCACAGACAGGTCAATGAAGGTTTTTGCGGCTGTAGTTTGCCAGCGGAACTACAATAAAGAGTGGTGTATAAAGGCGTGTCAGTGAGTGTCGCACATTAAGGCTCTCACAGGTAAGTAATATTTTTTTTTGTCCCTAGTTGAGAGCCTTGCCTTTATAAGCACATTCCCCTTTATACCCTTTATACAGGAAAAACACTTGGTAGCAGAAACTAGAAAGCACCAAAAAAAGAGACTTAGATCTCCTTCTGCTGGCTTGATAAAAAACTGCATCCTAATCATATTTTCTAGAATAAAAGTGTATGTATTTTTTATTATTCGCGACCATGATAAATAAAAATATTGTACAAAATCACAAATGTATTTCCTGTAAAGAGAATCTGTCTGGATAGAAATATAGGCGCTAACATTACAGAAGTGTTTATGACCGAGTAGTAAAGGAAGCATAAGGATGACAGCTCTGCACCATGCTCCTTCCGGAAAAAGTAAGCAGCTGTCGTATTTCTGTCCTGATAGGCTACTTTTTTGTACGTAATTTTGGGGATGGGTGGGATTTAAACAAATGCATATGAACAATTAGCACTGTTTTCCATGTGTTGACTCTTCTTTTCTTCTATTTTTCTAGTTTGTTGGGGCATTAGAAGAGATGCTTGCTTCAATTAAGAAAGATACAAGGTACGTATTTCTTCTTATACATTCTAGACACTAGAAGTATAGACTCTGGTCTCCTTTTCTGTCTTTTGCCATAACCTTCATATATTTGTTTACTTCAACAATATAACAGCAATATGTATATTGCATTGGTCTAAGAAATGATTGCATGTTTTATGTAATCTGTGCCAACAGTTCCTGGCCAACCAGATTCAAAGGAAAAATTGACAGGACAAGGATTTAAGCACCCCTGCTTGCTGAACAGATGGTTGTGGCGGTAAATTTCAGCTGTGTTGGCTTACTGGGAGCCTGCTGACTTATTTATCTGAGCTTCGAGAAGTGTCCCTCTTGTTTCTCTATTCCCTTAACTTTAGCGCCCAAGCGCACTTTTCTGAGTGGGGGAAAGTCTGTTAACCTTTGGACAGCTTCCATGCCCCGGTGCAAGAGATGGTGTCCCAGGACTACAGACTCAAGTATTAGTCCCTACCTACTTGTTTTCTCAATTCAAACTTTCCTGTGTCTCCTTACAGACTAGCAGATCTCCTTCTGACCCTCTGAGGCCTTCTGAACAAAGGTGTCATAGTAATGCTGCAGAACAGTTTCAGGGGTTTTACTCTGACCTGTTTACTAATCTCAAAACCAAAGGGGGCTTTCATCTCATCTTGGACATCAGAGCCTTGAATGTGTACGTTCATTCCCAAAATTTCCAGATGTAATTATGCAAAGTTGTCATTGCCTCCCTTTTACCAGATAGATTTTCTGGCCTCTGTGGACATGAAAGATGCTTGCTTACGTGTTTTCATCTTTCCAGTGCACCAGTTAATTCTGTAGTTTGCTGTGGGGCCACTGCGCTACTATCTTCTGCACCTTTGATGGCTTCCTGTTGAGGGAACAGTTCGTGAGGGCTCTGTCGGACAATGTATTTTTGACTGTATAGACATTGCAGATGTTCAGGTGGATACTGAAACTTCAGAAATCATCTCTGGAACCCACTCATCGCTGGGAATATCTGCATCTGGCCCTGGACATCTCTCAGGTAAAGGTGACCCTTCCTCAGGAAAAGCTTCAGACTTTCCAGTTTCAAGTTTTAACTCTTCAGTCCAGAAGCCATCCAACTTTCCGCTTCTGCATGAGAACCCTGGAACCGATGGCAGCCTCCTTCAAGGCAGTTCCCATTGGCCAATTTTACTCCAGACACCTGAAACTCGGCATTCGGTCATTGTGGGAGAAAGCAGTTCTGTCTCTGGACATGCCTATTCGGTTGGCACAGAGAACCAGTAATCTAGCTCTGCAGTCAGGGAAGTCCTTTCTTCCCATTTTTGGATGATTCTTACAACGGATGCCAGCCTGTAGGGCTGAGGGGGAGCTTTGGGGAGTCCTGGGCATCTTGTCAATGCAGGGGACTTGGTTGTCTGAAAAATCTCATCCCCGGATACAAATCTTAGAGCTTCTAGCATTTCAGCTGTCCTTTCAGTGTTGGACCAATCTGCTGGAAAGTGATCTGATCTGGATTCATTTGGGCAATGCCACCATGGTGGCTCACATTATTATCAGGGAGGAACTAGAAGTCTCCCTGCATTACAGACTTGCCCCCTGGGGCATAGTGGTTGATGTCCAGGTTCTAAGGAACAGGGGCATCCCTGAGTCTGGGATTCCTACAGCACAAGGCTAGTAAGTCCACTTCCTGCAAGGTTTTTAATTGGTCAAGGAAGGGGCACGTCACTTGCTGTGAGCAGGATTCTCTCCTTCCTACGGTTAGTCTAAACCAACGCTTGGCTCTCAGTACCATCAAAGGTCCATTCTCTGCACTTTCTATTAGCTTTCTTCAAGGTTCTCATTCTACTTTATCTAGGTGGCTCAGACTGATCATTTTAAGCTTATGGTCACAAGGATCAGGTTCCCCTTTTCCTGTTGAGGCTTACTACGCTAGGGTTGTGACCACCTCTTGGGCTTTTTAGCATCAGGCAACTGTTTCTGAGAATTGCAAGACTGCCACCTGGTCTTATGTTCATATATTCTCTAAGTCAGGGGGGCGTATCTGCTCCATCTAAAGCCAGATTTGGGCCTAAGGTCCTTCAGGGTGCTCTTTGAACCGCAGATGGTCCTCAATTCCCAATTTTTGTTAGGCCTGTTGGTGATGTTTGCTATGTTGCCCAGTTGTACTGCTTTTGTATGTCCCGCAGGTTTAAGATTTCCTATGCCCCTCAATGGATTGAAAAATCCTATTTTTGGTGTCCAATGAGGGTCACCCCTCTATGTTTATGATCATGTTCTCTCTACTACTTTACTACAAACCGAAGCAATGCCGGTCTTGTGAGGGGTTATACCCTGGCATACATTTTTTTTTTTGTTTGCCAGTGTCCAATTATGCTATAGGTGGCAGTATAACATAAAGCTTTAGGGCTTCCTGTGTCCCTCACTGAACTCTAATTTTATTGTGAGTAAAAAAAATGTTTTAATTTTAGACGTGCATGGATTAAAGCAAACTTTGTAAAGCAAACGTTTGCCAATGCACAGCAAAGCAGCAGGTTCACTTTAATTGAAGCCCGACCAGCTGTTCTTTCCCGTTGCACCTCCACCGCTCTGTTCTGCCATGGACTATAAACCATGATATTTTTCCCCTAAAGTTGACCAATACTAAAAATTTTATCATAGAACTTTCACAGTGTACCTAGAATGGATAAGAATGCTGTTCCAGGTTTTCCCAGTGCAGCTCACATAACCTGAAGTCTAAACACAGTCTCAATTTAGTATTTATTTAATTTTGTCATGTGGCCTTTATTGATGGGATGGATCTGAGCTCAGATTGTTCCCATCAACATCCTACTGGCTAATATATTGGCAAAAATTATATGACTGGAGTCATATCTTACAGCTGTATGTCCAGCCGAAGCTTGATATCTTAGTTTTGGAGAACAGACAGAAATAAAAAGTATTTTCTTTAATTGAGTATGGAAAGCTTAGAACCTTTGTCAGATATTTAGTTCTGTCTATGTCCATGTTTCAGATTTTCCCTCAATTCCTGTCTGGTAAAACATCAGCTAAACAGGAAGTGAGTGGAAATATCTCTAACAGAGAGATTGCTGGTAAAAACCACCAGAAATTCTAATCCTTGTCCAGTCTATCCTAAATCCTAAGTGATATACAGGCAGTCCCCGGGTTACGAACAAGATAGGTTCTGTAGGTTTGTTCTTAAGTTGAATTTCTATGTAAGTTGGAACAGGTACATTTTTGAAGTGCAACTCCAGCCCAAATTTTTTTTTTTTTAGTTTTGGATGGCATAAGGAAGGGTTAACCCCTTGTAACGTTTGTTTTGCTGTGTGTGCCCCTGTTCGGAAGATTTCACCTCCACTTTCTGTCCCTGTGACAATTGGATTTAGAAAATTTGGGGTTGTCGTGGAAACAAGGATTGGCGATTAAAGTTTCAGTGGAGACACCTTTTTTCCCATGGTAACTCTTTCAGAAGTGAATTTCCCTTCCTTGGGTCAGATTTCCTCTCCCCTCCTGTCTCAAGGACAGGAAGTGAGATTAAATCTATCTAACGAGGATACAGACAGCAGTATAAACCTCACAGTGACCTGGAAGAAAAGGCGGGCACCCCTAGTCTGCACGTCTAACAAGAGCCAACTTCCTGTAATGTACATACAGTACTACGCACCAGACCCAAAAAGGCAGACACTCCTTGTAGGCACAAGCGCGTAGCATTACAGCTACTGAAATGCTGTGCAGTACACTTTGGCTGCAGCCTGGGACCCCTTGCTGTACAGTTATAGCCTCCGTTTGTAAGTAGGAGTCGTATGTGAGTTGGATGTTTGTAATTCGGGGACTGCCTGTACTGTAAAAGCCATGTTCTACTTCCATTTTCCCACTGGTAGATTTTGTCTCCAATGCTTTTTTTTGCTTCCTCCTTTCCATGTCTCTGATCCTGAGTGATCTACCTCTACCCACCTCTTGCATTCCGCAGCAACATGTTCTTACCGCATTCCCCATTCCACTACCTCCTAGCATTCCTGCACACACATCTTGGGACCATGGTTAATTTCCCTCATACTCCAGCCTGGTCTAGCTGCTGCCAGGAAGAAATGGGGCAGTTCTGAGGGTTTGGCATTGCCTCCATTAGCTGCAAGTGTGTACTGGAGGAGGAGCTGGAATGTTGGGTACACAGGGCTATGTGGGCATTGCTGTGTGCCCTCCTCAGATCAGTATTCAGATTAGTAATGGATAAATTTTGACTAGATGCCAAGGGTTATTGCACTTTGCTCTTTTGTTATTCTGCAAGGAACACTGACTTGGAAGCATTTTCTGTGTCACTCAAGGATCTGTGCACAAGTTAGATAATTACAGAATGTCAGTGAATAGGTAAAAAATCTAGAGCTATTGCGGGGAAGTAATATTCCCCTTGTTGCAGCATATGATCTGCATAACTGATATCTCCCCAAGCGAACAGTATTTAACCAGTTACACAGATTTTTCACCATGCTGTTTGCTGCTCATGCTTTTAATAGCTGCAGTGCTGAGTCTAAAGAGGGCCACAAGAACTCTTGACTCGCCCTGGTGTTTGTTTGCACCTGTGGAGATAGGTGGGAAAACCAAGTACAGACATACTGGAGGCATTGTTGCTGCTGACCATAAAGTTACACTAAGCTCAGGATTTAAATCTTGACAATGCATTCAAGTACCTTAACTGTTAGCAAAAATGTATCTTATTTGTGTATCACTCAGCTGTAGATCTTCAAATCATCTCTGAATTGGTGCTGCCACTGTCCTTCCTTCTGGAGGGTGGCTACTTTTGTTCCCTATGGTCCCTGTGTGTTGTAAAGTAGCCATCGATCCAAATTTGCTCCCATGATGGACTACCATCTCCTGTTTAGTTTACTAATCAGTATTAAGATTTGTAGTCTATCACAGGAGTGAGCTTGGAATGGTGGCTACTTCACAACACTCCCAGGGACCAAGGGGAACAGAAGTAGCCACCGTCTGGAAGGAAGGACAGTGTCCGTACCAATTCAGAGATGATTTAAGGA